TCTACTTTTTACCTAGCCTATTATGCATTGTTATCCCGGTTACAGAACTTATTATGTGATGACTCAAAAAATTTTGAAGATGTTATTGCATTATTTGAGATAGAATAAGGCAAAGAAGACAAAAGTTCCTCCGATCAAAACTTACTTTTCTTGCATCCATGCTTGAGAGTTGAGACTTATTGTGTGAACGCTATTAAAAACAAAAAACAAAAATGGATTTGCTACATGGGCTCTTGATTAGCATTGAGCCCAATTTTTGAAAGCCTTACCCTTAACGGATATAGGCATGGTTGTCATCCAAGACTGGCCCATCCCTAATCCATAGTTGATGGTAGAATGGGTTTATTATTTTTATTTGATGGATGGCTTTAGTACGTTCACTTTTACCTATTGGTGTCAATTCTGTAAACCACGCCTGAGCACAATAACCACATTCTGAAACCAATTGACTTCCTCTCTAGGGATGGCAACGAGTTCCCACAGGGTGAGGACCCCCTCCCTATCCCCGTCCCCGTCAATGACGGGTATGGGGATTTTTGGCGAAAGATGAAAAATAGCCTCCATCCCCATATCTACGGGAAATGATAGGTCCCTACAGGTATTTGGAGTCCTCACCAAATAAAACTCAATGCTCGTTTCTTGTTTGAGAAGTTAACTGAAGATAGAACGAATTAAGAATTTGTATGAGTCTTAAAATAACAATACGATGATCATTCGTTCTGAATGCAAGAAATAAGTTGCGCAAGCATGTAAACAACGAAAATCACATTTTGACAATCTTGTGAACAATCAGAGGGAAAATGAAATAAAAAATAATAAGGCCAAAAGAATGAGATCTGTTTCACTTGAAAATAAATCATCAAGCACAGACACTCAGATACTCACAAATACTCACAACTCAGGCTCAAGCAAACTGCAAGTAGCCGATTAAAGAATAGAAACAGAGCTATGGGCACTACCTTTTGAAGGTTGTCGAGAATGATAGGTTGAAGGGAATTGATCGATTGAAGAACAGAAACAAAGCCAGTGAGTTACAGCACAAAGAAGAGGAGACTGGAGTCTAGAGAGGAGACTGGAGTCTAGAGAGGAGAAATCACAGAGCAGATTTGCAAATCTCAAAAATTTGAAATAATCCTTCTAGTTTTAGGGTTACTAGCAAATTGGGTTGGACTTAGGCAATTAAGTTTAAGAAGATTATGGGTTGGACCGAACTATATAAATGGGTTTGGAAAAACTGAAAAAAAAAAAAAAAAGGATTGGTCAATTAATTAAGTTGAGTAAGTAAAAGTTAATTGTTAATATATTTAAAATATATATATATAAATAAATTTTTTTTTATTTTATATGAATTTACACGGTTACCCAAGGGCGTAGTAAATTCCCCATGAAATTTCAAGGGGAAAAATATGTCTCCATCCTCGCCCCACAAGGAGAAATATTATGAGAATCTCCATCCCCGTGGCAAGGAAATCCGTGAAGCTCCGAGGGTTGCAGAGGAAATTGCCATTCCCATTCCTCTCTAATCGACATTCTTCTAATTTTCCTTCCCTTCTCAACTATCCTCCGTCTCTTTGATCATATATCTGGATTTCTCTGCACCTACGACATCTTGCTATGCATGGAGGCCACGATGTTCACACTCCAACCTTCCTCCAATCTTATATCTGGAGTTTCTATGCTCGGAGGCCATCTCTTTCACCTTTCTCGAAGCTATCACCGTTGTAAGTTGGAATTCCAGAGCTTGATAAGTCTCTTTCATTCTTTCCCTCTCCACTGCAAATTAGATCCAAGTTTAAAAGTTGATTTTTGAGCTTTATTTACGGCTTTGCTCAGGCTTTGACATCTTTTACGGTCAACCGTCGGCCTTCCCTCCATCTCTAAGTGTGTGATGTGTAAACCACAATAGGAATCAAGAAACCTATCGTACTTGTGAGTTACTTTGACATTTGTTTTTTCTCTTTTTTTGCCATTTGCTACCGTTTGATTAGTTGTTGCTTCAATTCCAGCCATTTTTGAAGATAGTACTTTCCTTTTGATGGTTGATAATAAACTTGAAAGGTCCTGAATTTGATTTTTTTGTAGCCTTTGATTATCGTTAATGGTTCTTTTTAGTTACTTAAGCTCAAAAGCTTGGTAGATATAAGTTTATTTGGTAGTTTTTGCTCTTTCCAATTTTCAAAATTTTGGGGTTGTTCATTTGATCATCAGTAGATAATATAACAATTATTTAACAGTAATTTGCATGTTGTCTTTAATCAGTATATAACAATGACATAACATCATATTTAATGATCTTAGCACTCTAGTTTCATTCTACTTTCTGATATGACTTTACGCATTGGGTGCTGTCACTCTATGATTATCACACTTAGTAAAGTTCATGAATTAGATTGTTGCACATGCTTTTCAAATTCCAAAGTAACATCCATATGCTATTAGTGAGTTTCTCCACTTAATCCAAAACTTTCCTCAGGCACTAAGAATGTCCAAAACTCTCCTCTTTTGTAATATCACTTTCCGTAATATCACTTTCCTAGGCACTAAGAATCATCCAAAACTCTCCTATTTTGTAATATCACTTTCCTAGGCACAAAGAAGACAACATGCATTTTTATACAAATGAATGAAACAAACTAAAATGCTCTACTTTCAGTCTAGATTGTACAAAAAACAAACAAGTCTCGAACCTTGGCATGAAACTTTCAATCTAGCTTGTATCTGAAAACAAACAGGTCCCACCTTGGCACGAAAAGGCTTTTCTGGGATCAATTTTATACTTCTTTCACTGAGTTCTAATCCCATGTCAATTAGGCATTTGATTGAATATAGAGAGAACACCATTTTGATTTGATAGTGTACGTCTAGGTTACTGCAGCTTACCTGAAATTGTTGTAACAAACAAATTAACTTTGGATCACAGAATACTATTTATAAATATAAATTCCCTTTTGTATTATGATTTGTGCAAGACATTTAATTTACATTCTGAAATTGTTCTATATCATAAAATACCTTTATCAATGTATAGTTCTGGTCTTGGACTTGAGGTAAGGTCATGGTCAAGTAGGGACTAGTAACTGTCAGTGTAACCTCCCATCTCTCCTTTGCTGTTGCAAACCATCCTCCGAGTACTAGTAGCATGTGATGGAAATATTAGAATTCCACAATGGTAAGGTGCATGAAATTAGTTTTAGTACAATAAAAAATTGACAGGCATATGACGTGGACCTGGCCGTGGATCAATTAGCAAAGGAGGATAATGTGGGGCGATAGGCAGAGATGGTGGGCTAAAGGGTAGATATGGTGGACCCAGTTGTGGGAAGGGAATGAGTAGAGATGGTGGGCCAGATGGCAGATAGGTTGGACTTGGTGGTGGAAAGGTGATGAGCACGGGCAGATGGGGTGTGCCTAGTGGTGGAAAGGCCAACTTGTCAGTGGCAGGTATGAGTGGGGTATTTTGGTGGGACTGAAATTTCTATAAAAACAGGAAAAAACTTAAATGCTATAACAAATTATATTGGAATTCAGATAAAAAGCAATTATTAGGGTATCATTTTATGGTTTCTTAGGTTTCTTGTGTTTCTTAGGTCCTATTTTTTGAAATTTGAACTTTGTAAGAAAAACAGCTAGAAAGACCTGTTGGAGGTTTGTATCAATAGAAAAACCCACTCAAGTGGATGTGGTGTAAAGGGAAATGGGGCATTTGGTTGAGAATGATGAATTTGAAGGCAAAAATCATAAGTCTACTAAAAATATTTTTGTTGGAGTCTCATGATAATTTATTTCAAAATACTCTTTTGCACATATTATCTTATGCCTCTATAGGCAAGAATCTGGAAACTTGAATGCTGAAATGTATTTTTAAAAACTATTTTTAATACGTATTTTTAGGGTAGGCGACGAGCACAGGCAAATGGGTTGGGCTTGATGGTGGAAAGGCCAACCTGGTGGTGGCAAATGTGAGGGGTACTTTGGTGGGACTGACATTTTTGTAAAAACAAGAAAAAGTTTGAGGGCTGTAACAAATTGTATTGGAATTTAGATAAAAAGCAATTATTAGGGTATTATTTTATGGTTTCTTAAGTTTTTTGTGTTTTTTTGAAATTGTGAATTTCATAAGAAAAATAGCTGGAAATACCCATTGTACGTATATATCCATAGAAAAACCCGCTCAAGCGGATGTGGTGTAAAGGGAAACAAGGGCTTTTGGCCGAGAATGATTCAAGAATTTGAAGGCAAAGTCATAAGTCTGCTAAAAGTATTTTTGTTGGAGTCTCATGAAAATTTATTTCAGAATACTCTTTTGCACATATTATCTTATGCCTCTGTAGGCAGGAAATATGGAAACTTGAATGCTGAAAAGTATTTTTAATATGTATTTTTAGGGTAGGTGATGAGCATAGGCAAATGGGGTGGGCTTGGTGGTGGAAAGGCCAACCCGACGATGGTAAGTGTGAGGGGTACTTTGGTGGGACTAACATTTCTATAAAAATAGAAAAAGCTTAAGAGTTGTAACAAATTGTATTGGAATTTAAATAAAAAGCAATTATTAGGGTATCATTTTGTAGTGTCTTAGGTTTCTTGGGTCCTATTTTTTGAAATTGTGAACTTCATAAGAAAAACAGTTGGAAAGACCCATTGGATGTATATATAAGTAGAAAAACCCACTCAAGCGGATGTGGTGTAAAGGGAAAGGGGGCTTTTTGCCGAGAATGATTCGAGAATTCAAAGGCAAAAATCATAAGTCTACTAAAAATATTTTTGTTGGAGTCTCATGATAATTTATTTCATAATACTCTTTTGCACTTATTATCTTATGCCTCTGTAGACGAGAAATCTGGAAACTTGAATGCTGAAATGTATTTTTAAAAAGTCTTTTTAATACGTATTTTCAGGGTAGGTGACGAGCACAGGTAGATGGGGTGGGCCTGATGGTGGAAAGGCCAACCCACGAGTGGCAGGTGTGAGTGTGGGGTACTCTAGTGGGACTTACATTTTTGTAAAACAGGAAAAAGCTTAAGGGCTATAACAAACTGTATTTGAATTTAGATAACAAGCAATTATTAGGGCATCATTTTATGGTTTCTTAGGTTTCTTGTGTTTCTTGGGTCCTATTTTTTAAAATTGTGAACTTCATAAGAAAAACAGCTAGAAAGACCCATTGGACGTATATATCAGTAGAAAAACCCACTCAAACGAATGTGGTGTAAAGGGAAATTGGGGCTTTCGTCAAGAATGATTTGAGAATTTGAAGGCAAAAATCATAAGTCTACTAAAAATATTTTTGTTGGAGTCTCATGATAATTTATTTAAAAATACTCTTTTGCACATATTATCCTATGCCTTTGTAGGCAGGAAATCTAGAAACGTGAATACTAAGATTTATTTTTAAGAGCATTTTTAATACGTATTTTTAGGGTAAGCAACGAGCATAAGCAGATGGGGTGGGCTTGGTGGTGGAGAGACCAGCCCAGAGATGGCAGGTGTGAGTGAAGGGTACTCTAATGGGATTGACATTTCTGTAAAAACAGGAAAAAGCTTAAGGGCGGTAACAAACTATATTGGAATTTAGATATAGAGCAATTATTAGGGTATCATTTTATGGTTCTTAGGTTTTTTGTGTTTCTTGGGTCCTATTTTTTGAAATTGTGAAATTCGTAAGAAAAACACTTGGAAAAACCTATTGGACGTATATATAAGTAGAAAAACCCGCTCAAGCAAATGTGGTGTGAAGGGAAATGAGGGCTTTTGGCCAAGAATGATTCAAGAATTTGAAGGCAAAAATCATAAGTCTACTAAAAATATTTTGTTGGAGTTTCATGATAATTTATTTCAGAATACTCTTCTGCGCATATTATTTTATGCCTTTCTAGGCGGGAAATCTAAAAACTTGAATGCTGAAATGTACTTTTAAAAAGTATTTTTAATACATATTTTTAGGGTATAAGTTAATAATATAATTAATATATTTTTATAATTCATTTTTATTAAAAATATAAATATTGATTTCAATTTAATTAATTAAAATTAATTACGTGTTAATGGTATTAAAATAAGGTAATAGTATATATTCCCTTAACTTCTTAAAAATTAGGAGAAAATATTTTAAAATTACATCATTTTAATAAAACCTTATTGACAAGACTACAATATCTTTTTTTAAAAATATGAATTAGAGTATTTTTAAAGTATGAATTAAAGCATTTTTTTGTTTTTTCTTATAGTGTTTTATTAAAATAACATAATGTTAAGATAATTTTTATCTTAACGTGGATAAACACTAACTCCCTTAAAATGACTATTAACTTCTATAATTTTT